AGTTTCAGCTCAGCTTCAGCTGTATAATTCCGAGAAAAACAGCATTCTAGGATCTCAATTTTAAATCAAAAGTTGCTGAAACATGTTTTGAATTGTTTTGAATTGCAGCTATATGCGATGTCCCACACTGATCCGATGAATTATAGCAACCGCTGTGCGTCGTGCCAATGCTTGCGCGCGCTGCGCCGAATAACAAAACAAACTACTAATTTAAATTTTCCTACCGTGCGTCTTAAGACGCACCGTTGGAAAGGCCTTCTTTCGTCGATTACTTCAAAATGACAGCTTGCCAGAAATAATAATTTCACAGGGAGTTTAGTCCACTTACTATCTTTCAACCAAGTATGTTTTTCAACGATAATACGCCAGTTACTTTTCAGATGGCTGCAAATGATGGACTACAGCTTTAAACATCATTTTCGAGTTTGGAGTCATTGAGTCAGCTATTCTGAGCTATAGAATCATTATAATAGGCTACAATTTTATTCGGGGATGAAAAAAAGTGGGGGGGGGGACAAACGATATGATATACCCACTTTAAAAGGGGGGGGGGGGGACTTGTCTGTGGAGGCGAACCGTGTGTTGATCTTGAATTGGCCATCATTTGTGCACGGCCTATTGTTGAACAATTTACGCTCCAGTGCACACCCCGGAGTATTGAAACATATGAGATTTCGGCAAGAAATATTGTACAAATACTGTTGAAATTACTCTTGCCAATCGGTATTTGTGGCTTTGGCTGTATATCAGGAGTTGGCTGGAAAATTGTGCCTTTATCCCGGCGTGAAATGGTTAATACCGGTAGTATTAAAATGTATGTATGGTTACTAGAAAATATACGTGTGCATGCGGACAAAAGTACACGCTACCCCGGTACTTGGTATAACTTTGACTAACGCTAACTTTGAATAATTCACTATTAATTATAAAAGAACAAATCCTCACACTTTGTTTTTCTAATAAAAAATTAATTATTCCACCTCTCAAAATTCACGGTTATTAAAATGTTTTATTGCCTTTGAGTCAAATGAAATTAACGTAGGAGGAAGTAATAGATTACATGTTAAAGATATGTAAAATAATAATTATCTTTATTTATATTTGCTGGTGAGAGGAAAATGAAAAGAGCAGAGAACACTAAAAAAAAAAGCCAGCCGGGGTTGAAGGATTGTCCAAATTCCAAAAGAAATGTACTGTTACTGTCAAGAGACTCTCCAAGCTCGGTGACATGAACATAAAAATGAAATAAAAACAGGAAGCAAAATATATGAATTTGGATGTCATGGATCAAAGAGATATAAGTAAAAAGTAAAAACATCAGTTGCTTTCCTTTACTAGTATTGGTCCTTTTTCCAGATTCCCGACTGATTCCGCCCAGCAACATGCACTCCTAAGTTATACCAGTATTGATTAATTTTTCGAGCAGACGTATACTCACGCCCAGCTGATGGCGCAAAGGGCACCGCCTGATGTGACATGTAGGCGCCATTTCTACTACAACTACAACAACACATGTCATAAAGGCCTGAATTAAAATACACAATGGACAAAATGTATGTACGTGTACAAGAAAGCAGTACTACAAAAATATAGGAAATTAAATTTAAAGTTAAAAGTAAAACGAAAATACTAGAGACTTTTGTTCTTTTTAAAAAAATTTATTAGCCGTCTTAATTATACAGGGTGGCCTTTTCAGTTACAAAACTGCTTTCCATTAAAGGGAATATACATCATTTGCTTTTGCTGTAATTTTCAGAAATGGATGGAATTGGGGGGTTGGAAATATATAGCAAATATAGTTACACTGACTTTTTTGAGGTTTTGGGTTCGAAAATGCTATAAAAACCAAGAAAAACAATCATTTTCCTGTACTCTGGTTCCCTGACTCCATATAAGAAGAAACAGAGCAGTTTACATACATTGGGGAATTGTAAGGTCAGGGAACCAGTCTAGCTGGCTTGTACCCGTTCATAGGTGTGTAATCGATTGCAAACAAGTGCGATGGTCAATTGGGGCCAGTATTTGAAAAAAAAGCCAGTCTTTTTCCAACGCTGGTCGGCCGACCAGCGTTGGAAATTGATACAAAAATACCACTTTTCTTGAAAATGACAGTATACCAGGTGCCATGATTTTACAGGATGCTTTACACTGTCATTCATTAACAGTCCAGCAAGGTATTTCAAAATGATTTGGTAGTTTTATTTTTTGATGTTTGCAAATGTTGTATTTTCCCTTTAAGGGCCCTGGTCCATATTACCTAAACATTAATCAAGAAAAAGTAGTGTAAGAAATTTAATACATAGATATTAAAAATACAAAGATTAACAATCAAATTACATAAGACAATGAGAGTCCAGTCCATTTTCACTAAAGCACTCTGTGACTACAGTAATGTACATGTACGTACACGGACTATACATACAATTTGTAATTTAGCCTGTACCATCTCGAACAGCTGAACAAATGCCATACATGTCTCTCCTGTCCCAAACAAAGATGCCGGTAGTCCAATAGCGAGGGATGCTGGGTTGCTAGGGGCAACCCTAATGGAATCCATCAAACTACAGCCGAGTCTCATAACAAACTCGTTCGGACCTAGCCAAATTGTTTGTTATATCAGAATTTTGTATTAAGGGGAACATCAGTCCCATTCATTGTGCACATAAATGCACAGTCGGGACCAAGGCTTTATGTTTGTTATTTACCAGAATTTTGTATTAACAGAGTTTGTACTAACAAGAGTCGACTGTACACACTCACAGTTTGAACCTCAATATAATACATGTGTACCACATATCACAGAGCACTATAAAATTATGGACAACAGTGGTAGATCCGGGTTGATAAAAACATAGGCCTGCATACCGGTACAATTGAAAATAATTTTTGGTACTGGAGTATTGCAGGGAGAGTTTTTTTGATTTGCATACCAAAATGCAAGGCAAAATTTGTTACTATGTTTGCTCTACATAATTTCATAGATTGTTGAAAAAAATATTTTTGTAAAGTACATTGTAAATATTGTAAATTCAAAGCAGTTCTTTGTATACATGTTTTTTTTTACAAAATCGATCTTTGCTACAACACTTAATTAAGGGGGTAAAGATTGACAGGCTTGAACAAACAAAGTGGACTTTATTTTATACATCATCGCTATACTATGAAGGGCAAAGGATAAAGCGGGTGACAGGCAGCGAAGTACTGTTGATACCAGTATATCGATATCAGTCGATATTCAATGTTATTTTGATATCAATATCGCCGATAGCAATTTTGTTATCATATCGAAATCGCAAAGTTTTCGATTGAGGGAATTATATCGAAAATACTGAAAATGCATCAGATTATTGTCAAAATTAATCTCCTGTTTTTTGCTTGAACATTGCGTTGAATGTTTGCTGTATAAAATATGAATCGATGGCAACTTGTGCTTGTGACTCAAAATAAAAACATTGCGAAATGCCAAGCGGCGTGCGGCTTTGTGCTCTGCTTTTAAAGCTGGAACTCGCTGGTCTCCCCAATGTATAAAAACCTCAAAAGAAACCGCCCATTCTGGACAAACTGTCAGTGCTGAGATTTGTTTAAAAAAAATGAGCAATATGCTCCAGAGAAAGCCATGGAAAATTCGGACTTAAGGTTTTTTTTTTTTAAATCAAAGTTTTCATCTTTATGGTCTTTAACTTTTAGTTTTAATTGGACTGGTCAAAGCTCGTTTTGTAAATGAAGTATTTGTTGAAGTCATGAATAAAATGGTAAGAAATGTGAAACACCACTAGACCAACTACAATGTAGCTAGTAAAATACCAAACTGGAGTGCTTTGATATGTGCAGAACTAAATCGTGTCAACTTTACTCACTCTGTAGTCAGCAAATTTCTCCAAAAATTCCATTGGGCAAAGAAAGGTCCTCAGTATTTCACCAACCAAGTTTACAAACTCATTCAATTTTAAAGGAAACATTTCTTCAGTATTTTGCACATCAGAGGAAAGTCAAGTGATTTCAAAATGGGACTAGACTGGTACATGTCCAACAATGGTCCAAATTTTTGGAAAGACTGACCTCTTCATTCAGTGTCATTAGTCTGGTGGCTGACTATGGAGAATTGTGTTGTAAAAAGAGACTAGTTTCCAGTTCATGCCACGTATTTCTTTTGGCACAGTTGATTGATGCAGTACTGCAGCGGTGCTGGACTGGTTGTTTCAGGTGCCAGTCTATTTTTTGTATTGCATGTTTTCAATACCTTAAGTTTTGGGACTCTCATACCCAGTATTGAGAGTCCCAAATTTTCGGACTAGTATAATACCAAACATATATGATCATTGTCACAGAATTTCACAATTTCCTTGACAATCAAAGTCAACTTTTATATTTAACATAAGAAAACTACAGGTAGAACATGTATTGTCATTATTGTTGGGACATTTTATGGTACAAAATGTAGATGAAGACGATAGTAATGTACTGCTGGTATAACCTCAGCAAAAAAATACTGAATTCCTGCTTCTTGTCCTACAGTCAGACAGTCAGCAGGATAAGAGCTTGCCTAAGTTACGTAATTAGCATTACTCTTCCAAACCCTGCTCAATCCAACATGATCCAACTATTTAACATTTCTGTTTGGGTCCTGTTGGATTGAGCAGTAAACCCCTTGTATTCCTGTTGGAATCTGTTGGATTCAGCAGGCAACTGAAAACATTCAGAGTCGGATTCCGTTGGGTACTGGTAAATAACACCAAGTTGGATTCTGTTTGTCCCAGCCAGAAACAGAAGAATAAGGCACAGTTGGATTCTGTTGGATTGAGCAGGCCAGTCATTTGATATGTTCAGGTGTCCAACAACTTGGCTAGTTGGGTTGTGTGGGACTGTGTTGGATTGAGCAGGAAACTCATATGAGTCACCGTCGGTCTCTGTTGGATTTAGCAGGGTAGTCCTGGGGAACTAATATTATACTGTTTTGAATTGTTTGTTATCTGTCTGTTCTGTTTTTGTCGCCTCCGCAGGTGCGTTTCTGATCCCCTACTTCATCATGCTGATCCTGTGCGGCATACCCTTGCTGGTCCTGGAGTTTGGCTTGGGACAGTACGTCCGCGCTGGTCCCCTGGAAGCCTTTCGCAAGATTTGTCCCATCTTCAAAGGTAACAAACAAGCTCCAATAGCTCAGTGTTGTTTTGGGGGAAAAAACAAGTGGGGTTGAAAGAAAGTTTGGACAGAAAGATATCAGGATCTTGGTTTTACAAAATTGCAAATATCAAAAACCTACATGTACATGTAACTACCAAATTATTATGAAATAGGCATACCTTTACTGGACTGTTAGTGAATGACAGTCTTAAGCATCCTGTAAAATCATGGCATTTTTGAAAATTAGAGGAAAAGCAAATGTATTATTAAAATGATACTTGGTACTTGGGTGGCTCTTCTCCTAAATACTCCAAGGGGAGTTTTAACAGGAGGCTAGAAAGTTTGGATATTTACATACAAACTTGTTTCACAGGTTTGGTTGAGAAATTGTCATTAAGTTTTTACAAAAACATCCTTGTATATACTCTAAACTCCCCTCCTAAAGCTATAGCCCTAATAAAGTTACGTTTGTGGTGTTATTGAAAGACAACCAAGCCAGCTACAGCGATTGATAACCGGTGATTTTTGTAAACACTCTAAAATCTGGAATTACAATACAGGTATCTGCCTTTGGAGAACTACGGTACCGGTACATACCAGTACTCTTATTGGTTAAATATTAATTGAAATGCAGATATGAACTTACTTCATAATGTAATGTATTATTAGACTCTGAAATTTTTTCTATGAGAATTTCTGAAATGAAATACAAATTAACATATTATTTACACAAGAAATTGTGAATTTTCATTGATTGTGAACGGTTCATGTGATTTACATATGGTTATTCTATAAATTAGGGGTCCAAAGTGGGCCATTGCATTAAAAGGGCTCAAAAACTTTTAAGTTATTTTAATTATGGTCAATCTTGCTTTTCATAATATGAGATGTATTTACTTCCATCAGGATGGTAAAGTGCAAGCCTTTTTAACAGACAGGAGATCCTTAACAACGTCATGTCATCTGGAATATTCAAAACACTAGGCTTTACGCGTAACTGGGACACCACAGGACACCATGTTACATGTGAAATTATTTCAACATTACAAATGGTCATATATTTTTTTGTTTCTTAGCATTGATGTCTTGGTTTTTTTTTAATCCTTTTATTTAATGGACAGAATTTGTAAAATACCAAGGAAAAGTATACAATGTGACCATGCAAGACACTTCACACAGCAGAATTGGTTCACACGTACATGTAACAGGGACACCGTGGGACACCAAATGTGACATGTGAAACCATAATATTGGGAAGCACCATATCACATCTTCACACATTTATTTCTTTAAAAATTGGATCTCATGTTAAAATTGAGTTAGTACTGTCCATCACTTTGACCTAAAAAATGGCATAGTTTACCTTTTAAGGAGGCAAAAATGTTAATTTTTTGATACTGTAATTTTTGTCCCACTTTTTAGCCAAAAATACGAGAATTTTTCGGCTTATTTTTAACCAAAACAGGAACTAAATGGGATCAAGATAACAAATTTGTAGGTTTTATCAATGTAGGTTTTATCAATGCAACTTTTATTGGAGTTTGTTACACATAAAGTATCATTAACTTTAATACATATTTCCTATTTAGTTAGGCCTATAAAACAAAAAAGAATGACCCATATATATGTACAGTACAAACATGTTATGTCAAACATGTTACGGTACGTCAATCAGAAACACAGTGTATGCATACATGAAGCTCTGTGGAGCACATTGCCTCATGAACCCAACGTAATACATGCATACATCACTCATGTACGGTACCCTGGATACTTCACCTTAATTGTACTCAAGGCTTTAATAAATATTACCATCCTGTCACCCCCAACCCATGTTTTTCCCTGACCCTCAGAGTTACACAAAAGGCCTGCATGTGTACATAGGTTTGTATTTGGATTGCGTGCCAACACGGACAAAGAGCAATGCCTGAAGAACGGCGTGTGAATAAAAAGGAAAGCAATGTGTCATAGAAAAAAATGTCTTTCCCAAAAATAAAATAATTCTTCATCTGCGTACAACATGACATGTTCTTTGGATAGAATCCATGATCTTTTTAGAAAAGAAACCTAGAATGTTGTTTTTTTTTTTCATCATTAAATCATTTCCCCAGTAGGGCTGTCCAATTTCGAATAATTTAGTATTCGATTATTCAAAACGGCACTTAATCGAATAATCGAATATTCGAATATTCGAATTTGGATGATCAAGTTTAACACACGTCAGCTGCAGCTGCCTTCCTCGCTGGTCAAAAGTTGCTTTCAAAAAGCGGCCGTTAAAATTTGCATGCGACAAACGATATTATGGGCCACTGGAGTGTTCTGCAGTAAGTACTGTATAACTGTCAAGAGACTTTACCCAGCCAAAAGAACGGGACCAATAAGTAGGCATCCACAAAGAAGTTACCGTCAACAAAAAGGGTATCTGACATTAAAAAATGTAACTTTATGATGAAAATAACATCACAGTCATGTGTGCAGTGCCCACAAGCATAGTTTTTTTCTTTTTGAATATTTGGTGGATGATCGAATATTTGAATTTTTTGGTATATTCAGGACAGCGCTATACCCCATCGCTCTAACCCCCCAGAAAAGGGATGGGGGTGTAAAATACCATGGACAATACAACATCTGACAACAGCAACAATCAATGAATAAATTGCCTTCCCTCAAGCGCTTCAAGTTGGTCATATTTTAACTTTTTTTTTTATTCAGTTAATGTGGGTACCCCACAGGGTGGCCCACAACAAAAATACTTTGGGGGAGAAGGGGGATTCATTCATTTTGGCAGTTCCATTGTTAAACACGGGTGCCTGAATTTACCATGTGTGATGTTGGATTTTGCAAGAGTGAGGAAGGTACATGTACATGTACCTACTAAGTAGTAAATCACCCGTACAAGAAACCCAACCCCAAAGTTCAAATTCCAGAAGTTATCTGAATGGCTTTGCATAGCTGTACCGTGTAAACTGCAACTTTCCTGAGCATCTGTTTCGTGTATTAAAATGTACATAAACGTGAAATATGTTTTGGTTTTCGATGTAGCCTGGATTTTATTTTGAAAATTCCCCACCAAAGACATCAGTGGCTGACATCAGTGGTCAGGTACTCATGGTTCTCGAGTAGGAGATTCCCATGCACAGCCCAGTTGAGTCAAGGACATAACCCATTTCAGGTTATATGTGAGCTTCATGCATGAACAACCCACTGCTGAACTTTTCAGAAGAAAACAATGCAACTGTTTATGGCTGGTCGGTACCGGTGTGGAGAAAGATGCCTTTGAAAATAAACTGTAAAGATTTATTGGAGCAGTTCCTTTCTTTTATGCGCATGAAAGTTTAGTGGACTTGCACTTTTCACTCATATTGTTCAACCCAAAATAAGTGACTTACATTTGTAACAAGGAAGTCCTTGTTGGGTTTTGTGAGGAATGGGGATGTATTGTTACTAGCGAACTTCCAGAATACTCGACCTCCTATGCGAACATACATTCTGTGCCACCTTGTCCTTTCAGTCAAAATCAATCAAGTGACTGTTTTCAACAGTTAAGAGCTCCCAGCTTACATAAACCATGATTGACTGGCTGTGACTGTCTATGTAACGTTATACAGCTATGCTTTGACTGTAGGTGATTGATAACATCTGTTGACTAAATTTGACTAGTCACAGTGCTTGCTTGAAATAGGATCAATACTGTTGGTGACTAGCCTGTGTAAAAGGCATGGCAGGGGAAGAGGATTTATTTTATAATTGTCTGACTGCTCAGATAGCAGGAGGGTTAAATTTCTCCAATTCAGGCAGACTTTGACAAAGTACATTCAGTTATGACTTCTATAACTTTGAGATTTGTCTAACGAACAGAAATCATTTTGAATGTTACACATGTCACAAACATTCATACATTCATTTACACATAGCGAATTTATTATATGTATGGCCAGTTTAATGATATCACAGGGTTTGTATGCATCAATGATTAAATGTACATTGTTCACATGGACTGATAAAATGGCATTGTTCTTGATTGTTTTCAGTGGAAAAAAGTATCAACTGAGACTCTTCCCTACAATAAATTCCCTGTTCGTTTTCAAATAAGGAAAACAAACGTAACTTTCTGTAGAAACATATGTTAGCGTAATGATGCATACAAAATGTACACATTGTTCACATGGACTGATAAAATGGTATTGTTCTGGATAGTGTTCAGTGGAAAAAAATTATCAACTGAAACTCTTCCCTACAATAACTTCCCTGTTGGTATTCAAATAAGGAAAACAAACATAACTTTCCGTTGAAACATACCGGTACATAGTATGTCAGCGTGACGATACATTTGTTCATGAAGAATCCGTAGTCATTGTTTCCTGGCAAAACCAAAACAAGCCTAGATTGATCAGACCTACCGGTACTTCCTGATGTCTCCATTGTCTCAAATTTCCCGCCGTTGTTATTTTGTAATAGAAAGTACCTGACAGTAAGAGTAAGATATTAACAGCCATGAAATACAAATGTGTGTGTACAGTTGTTATCTATTAATTCATTTGATTGAACAAGTGAAAACCCAAAGCTTAGGATAATTGCAGATTTGCCCAAATCCAGCACTTTAACCCTAACAGAACTCAACCCATCAAACTCTAACAGCATGTTTTGTTGGAATCTGTCAGGATGGGTACAGTACCCCTAAACTTTTACATTGGGTTGGCACACCCCCAGAAACTAAGTCAGAAATATGTGTGCACAGTTTCCCATATGGTGTTGGAATTTACCAGGATGGGTATGGTTCCTAGTAAATCATGATAGGGAGTAATGTAGACAAACGGCCCTAATGTTGAACAAAAGGGAGACAGGACGTGCCCTCACTGAAGTGGTTGTGGCTTGCAGTCATGAATCCACTCAACATAATGCAAAATCTCGATTCAGCTCCTTGGCACAGTCTTTATTAATTAATTGTCAGAACAGAAAATCAATGGTCACTGGACAGCTCTTGTAAAACGGTTGATTGATGTAAGTTTTTTTTGCAATGTGAAAACAGGAGGTTGTAAAGAGAGAGAGGATACCCCCCCCCCCTCTTTTTTTGAGGGGACCCCCCCCCCTTTTTTTTGAGGGGAGTATTTGGGGTGTGCAATAATGTGAACCTGCATAAAACATATTAACTACACCCTTTTGTGCACCCTATTGTGATGGATTGCTATTGTAGACTAATCCTAAACACATCTATAGGTACATGTATTGACCAGACGTACATGTAATAGACTAGTCCAAGTATGGTTGACTCGCATGTGATTTAGCGAAGATAGTCAATCAATGGTTAAACTTTTGTTTTCACGTAAAGTTGCTATTTGTTGTGAAAGGTTCAACTCCAGTGTTATGTACATGTACATGTAATGTTCGTGACAGAGAGCTGTTAAGAGTTAAGTGAATTAACCTAAAAATGTATATTGATCATTCTCTGAATCATTAATTAGATATTTCATACAATGTAGTTATTCGCTCTGTCACGGACATTACACTTCCTTTCCGCTGAAATTGCCCATATATGAACGTTAATAGAAAATCAAACGTCAATTTGTTGACTGTTAGAAAATCAAACATCAAATTGTTGGCTGTATTGAAATTTTCCCTGGTTTTGGTTGCAGGCACTGGACTGGCCACCGTCATGATCTCCTTTGTCCTGACCACCTACTACAACGTCATCATAGCCTGGGCCCTCTTCTACCTGTTTGCCTCCATGCAGAGCGAGCTGCCCTGGGACTCGTGCGGCAACTGGTGGAACACGCCTGACTGCTTCTCCCACGATGACTACCAGAATCTGAACGGCACCGTTAAGCCAAACGACACCGTCTCCTCAACTGAGGAATACTTCAAGTGAGCTCTTAGTCCTCTTTAAGAAAATTAACATAGAGAAGAATACTCCCCCGACAAATACTAACAAGAAACAAAGCAAAAAAGAGTTGGCTTGCCTGGTCAAGTTGGATCCAAATTTCCAAGTTTAGGACATAACCCAGTCGGTCATTCAGTGACTCAGAGGACCGTAAGCTGGGTCCTTCTTGCCCTGCAAAAATGAGGGAAAACTAAGCAAATGAAAGACCAGCACCCAGCATGTCCACTTTTAAATTGTATGTATAAAGTCAACATTGTAATCTGCAGGTTACTGCATTCATGTGATGCACAGATCAATTTATACAATTCTTCATTCAAGTTTGAAGTACATGTTTAACAATATAACAATAACAGGTTCTTATATACGGTAGCACTTATTAACGAAGATCAAAGCGCTTTGTAGTATTATTACCCCTGATCATTGAGCCAATTAAACATTCAAAATACCATCTCAGCTCCCTAGGGATACAGAGTACAGAGAATACCACTTACGTGTCAGTTGGTGTCCATCGCCCTCCCCCATTCCCCCTCCCCCCCCCCAAAAAAAATCAATTAACCAATGCATTTTAAATCATACAGCAATATGTAAGATTGTATATTATTGAACCCCTCACCCCTTACAGTACATCTTTCATTATGTTAAAATCCAAATCTGCAGCAGTGGAAGTGCATTCAATTGGTTTTGTTTTCACTTTTGAGTATTCTACTGTTTACTTCCTTGTAATCAGGATCATAGCGTGCACACCGTTCCATTCAATTTCCTCTTTCACTTTTCCTTTTTCCTACATATATGTATGTGTGTTCCACGTGCGTACATGTTTACATTCAGGCATTTCACAATTGCTGTAATATTACCTCCAACAGCAGTGCTCCAGTTTTTATTGACAACAGCTGCATGTTGCCTAACCATTCCACAATCACCTGACTGACCCACAATTTCAAAAGCAAAGTGCAACCCGATCTTGATTTTACAATGTACTTCCTCGAACTTGGGATCAATCATGGGTGTCAATGGATGGGGGACGGGGGAGGGGACAAGTTAAAAGTTGCCTCAGATCGCACCACAGAGAGTCTAGAAACCAAATTTTCCCCTTCCCTTAAGCAGGCCCCGACCCCGAGCCGTTAGGGCTTCATGTTTGCATTAGTTCTGATTAAGGTACATGTATATGTATGTTCCCTTACTTTTGAGAAGCGATTGATGCCCTTGGGATCATTTGTTCTGCTAAAATTTCTTTTCTCTGTTAAAAGTGTGTGTTGTCAAGTTTGCATGAAGATGTTCCAAGTCCATCTTGATAACCCCCTCTCTAGTCTCTACCGGACCTTGATTTTACTCCCTTGACCTTGAAATGAATTTACCAAGCAATATTCTAATAAATGTTCTTTCCTCCGTTCTGTTTGTGTTGTCATTTGGATAGAGATTTGAAAATGACATCTTCAAACCCCTCCATTCACAAAGGAATTTAACCTTATTTTCCCTCGGATATTTTGCCTGTGTCTTTTCTCAACTGTGTTTACAATATCAGAAATGATTATTTATATCAGGTTTCCAGTTGTAAAAAAATTAATAGCGTATTGTATGCTTGCGTAAAAAAGTACCCAGATGACTCCAACATATGTCAGTAAAAGTATCCGGATGCGGACGGTATTATTTTTGATGTTGTCCTCATCTGGGCATTTTAACAAATTTCACTGGTTCCCACTTGGTCAAGAGCGTAGAAAGTCACAGTTTTCAACCAGTCAACAGAGCGTAGCACGCGGTACCATCAGACGTACACACAGCGCGCAGCAGGGTATACACTCACTGTTGTCAACAACCAAAAACGTCGATTAGCAAACAATAATTTCAACAAAATTTGAGAAATGAGGATAAAGTGTCATGAATTTCTTTTCTTGCAGATCACGTCAGCCTGATATAAATAATAAGAATAATATAAGATGGCTTATTTTTTTCAGGGGACACCAGAATATATTGCACTCGCTATAACAATATTTCGAAAGTCGAAGCTTGTGCAATATATTCTGGTATTCCCCTCAAAGCCATCCAATATCATCAAAACTGGCCATGCAACGGAGTTCAATTTTATACACCAGTGTTAGTTACAAAATACAAGTGAAACATACTGCTTGCAAAAGTTCAGTTGAAAATCCATGACAGCATACAGTTTATCATGAAAAGCATTCTGTAAGATCAGAACCATATTGGATGTGTATTAATTTATGGTTGTCATGTTAATAACAAACTTGGTTGCTATTTTGTTGCCTTCGTCATTTCTGAAGATCTCTCCAACAGATGGGACTATGTTGTTTTGACTAAATTCCAACAGAGAAAGCAGCTGATGTGCCAGAAGATTTTGGTCACCATTCATAAAGCAACTGCGGCATAGCAAAACAAATTTCAATTCTTAAAATTGTTTTTTTGTGGAATGTAGAAAATTTTACTGCGGGGCACTACAATGTACGTGTGATTTTGACACAAACTTGGATATACATTGTACTAGTACATTCTAGGCATCTTTTACAATTATTTCCATACATGTTCATGTAGACGTACAGTGTAGTACAGGTTTGGCTTTTTTTCTTCTTTTTTTTTAAAGGGAGGGTGCATTAGAATCTTTAAATCCCCTGCCGCACTACGTACACATTATGTACATTTAGAACATACAGTGGTGACACCATGATCGTGCGTACTAACATGTTTGTTTATGGTGTAAATCAAGCATTTTCATTTGTTCCTCTTCCTTTCTCCTTTGTTTGTACTTAAACTTGTTCGCAACAGCTCTCCTTGGTTGTTTACACGTTTTCTAATGGAAGTCGTCCTCGGTTTGGTTCCTGTCCTCGATTCAACGATGATGTTGCACACGTGTGTTCTCGATTTACACCATAAACAAACGCATGTAGTCACTATTTGGACATGTGAACAAAAGATGTCCACATTATGTAGTTTGTGTTGACGTTATGTGGACTATTAAGCCGTGTCCACATAACATTTCGCCCTCTCTGGAAAACAGGTTTAGAGGCATTTTGGGGTTAGGGTTATCTGTCGCAGAATGAAGAGAAACATTCAAGGAAATCCAAAAAAATTGGGGGTTGAAAGAGTTTTCACAGTTTTAAGTAAAGTTATATTTTGTACCGAGTTTTCCTAACTACACAAAAACAAAGGAATGTCCACATAGCGTATGTAAAACAAACATGGGTGTATCTATAGGTGTGCACACTCTTTGCACCTTGAACGAAAAGTTTTTTTCAAATAACCCTCATCTCAAATTTAAGAGCGCATGGTACATGCATACAGTTGTGTGCATGATAGCCGCATAACCAATTTTAAGATACATAAAAAAAAAAAATCAAGGGCTCATCTCTGTGGCTTTGATCTACATGTACAGGAAATGAACAGTGAAAGATAATCTGTGTTTTTCACCTTGCCTCTCTTTTTTTTGTGTCTCTAACCAGCCATCGCGTGCTGCAAATCAGCGACGGCATCGGTAACGCTGGGGAGATGCGCTGGGAACTGTTGGGCCTGCTCTTCGCGGCCTGGGTCGTTGTGTACTTGTGCCTCTTCAAGGGACTGAAGACCTCCGGCAAGGTTTGTTTCGGTGGCTTTGGAGGGGGGGAGGAAGTTTGAGAGGTCAAAGGTCGATGATATTTGTAACTAAGCCCATCAGATGAATACAGTATACATAGGGACTGAAGAAATCTGGCAAGGTGTATTGAGGGTGTGGGGGTGGAGCTACTTACAACTTGAGGTGGGGGGATGATATTTGTAACAAGCCCATCGGATGAACACAATGAAACTGGTTACCTTTTGGTGTTATTGTACATTGTGCTTTGCTCCTATTCAGGAATCATTAATATCAGTTTCTGACTGGAATTCTAGACTAGAGTCATGCTCCCCCCCCCAAAAAAAAAATTCTTTCTAATATTTGAATAAAGTTCAACATTTGAAACAATTACGAGGCTCAACTCTACATTAATGATGAATTTTTGCAGTAGTTCAGAATAACTGTAGAGTTTCGTCATTAGAAAATCATACCTACATGTAAAGTTTACCTGTCTGAAATCAAAATATCTGTTGGCTCAAATGGAGTCCCTCCTTATACATGTACATGTACATTTACATGTTAAAGGCCTACTATTTGGTAGGTAACACTTTGATATACATGCATAAAGACAACGGTTTCTTCGAAAACACCAGACGTTTCAACCCTAACCCTGCTAAATGCAACAGAATGCATCTATCGTAAAAAGTTGTTGCAAGTTGTTGCATCTAGCAGTCTCCAGATCTGGATGATGCATTCCACCCTTGCATTCTTTTGCATTCTGTTGCATTCTGTTGCATTTGTACCAAGACTGGCATGTATTCACTGTATTCTGTTGCATTTGGCAGGGTGCCCAGAGAATACCCCGTGGGGGTTAGGGTTAAATTAAGTTACATTTAAGCACAGAACTAAAAATACTTCCTTCAAAGATCCCCAGTCTCTGATCGCCTAGCCCCTCCCTCTTTTTTTCTCCCCACCCCTCGGTCGTTGATTTTTCCCCACCCAGATTGTCTACTTCACTGCCACCTTCCCCTACCTTGTTCTGCTGGTGCTCTTCATCAACGGTTTGCTCTTGGAGGGCTCACTCGAAGGAATCAAGTTCCTGTTCATCCCGAAGTGGGAACAGCTGTTGGATGTTAACGTGAGTGTCTTTGACTCGTCTGAGTACATTTCTTTATTTTTCAGTTGCCTCCATGTTTGGTCTGCTAAAGATTGTTAAAAGGGCCACCATTTTTGAGAGAGTGGAGCAACTTGAGTCAGGGGCCAATTTCACAGAGGTGCAGAGCGAACAAATTTGCATAATTAAAATAAATAAATAAATACATGTTACTTTTATACTGTAACCGTTATACATGTAACCGTTATACATGTAACTGTTACACATGTAACTGTTACACATGTAACTGTTACACATGTAACTGTTACACATGTAACTGTTACACATGTAACTGTTACACATGTAACTGTTACACATGTAACCGTTACACATGTAACCGTTACACATGTAACCGTTACACATGTAACCGTTACACATGTAACCGTTACACATGTAACTGTTACACATGTAACTGTTACACATGTAAATGTATGTAACTGTTATTCATGTAATTTGCCCAACAATGATTTTTAACAGTTACAGTTTTGAAAAATTGGGCCTGACCAGTTATACTTTTTCTTGCACAAAAATGCTTTATGCGCAAAAATGTTTGTTTTAGCAAGATCAGAACATCAGTGAAAAATCAGTGAATTTTACTTCTGTAGATATGTACTGGTTCACAGTTTTCTTTTGCTACATGAATTCATACAGAATTTACAATAAATAAAATTTTCTAAGCAAGATTTTTTCTGCCCTGCCATCTCCATGAAATTGGGCCCTACAGTGTACATGTACAATTTTGTCTTGCAATTATTTGCATTTATTCAAAAAATGTTGTTTTTTTACCCCTAGACATTTGTGACTTGGTTTATGACAAACTCTGCTAACAATGTTGTTTTGCAGCTGTGTAAGAATGACCTTGGGTTGAAACTGGCATTTTAATTTTTGTTATTCCAAGAATTCTGTTGTAAGCATTTCTTTTCTATTTTAATTTGACTATTGCTCCCACCCTTGAAAATTACATGTGTGAAAGTTTTGTGTTAATATTTTTACATGTCACATTTTGTCTTGTTCGCTGTGTTTCTTTAATTAGTAAAAAATATGATCCTCATTTTATACTCCTAATTTTTTTCTGAATGATTTTCATTGTGTGTGAAAACTGTGTGATTTACAAAGAAGTTCAACCTGTAATTAGTTCTCAAATGTAAATTCATCACATTTTTCCTCCTTTCTTTCGTTTATGACTCATCCCACAACAGTGTAAGAAAATGGTTGTCATTTGGAAATTGGGCCCATCAGGCATACAGGCCAGTAATGGCCAGCATGGGTGTACATCATGTACATGCACAAAATGTACAAAGATGCAATAATAGCCTTTGAAAAAAAATATTTGACTGGAGGCATTCACGGTTCAAGTTGCACACACTTTCAATCCACTATCCAGTGTAATCAAAATTACAAAGGAACCATTTCTAAAGTTGGTATATTGCCAATTGTCCCATGTCCTCACGTCCTCACAATAGAGAAGGAACCCCCATTGCAAAAGAACCATTTGGGACCCATTTTACTGGCAGAACTATTGAACTGCGTGTACATGTGTGCAATTTTGCAGAGGGGTAATTAATAATCTGTCATGCTACGGCATAGGAATTTTGATTGTGTGCGAAAGTGTCCATGACCATTTTATGAAGTGTCTTGTTACATTAAAATGTGTAAATACAGTTATACATGTATGTACTTGTACATGTACATTGTACATGTACATACATATACATTCCGTGTACATTACTGCATTTGAAGAGTGTCAACCGTATGTGTGTTTTGAAGTACACATGTACAGTGTTCGCATATTGGTTTTTATACAGAGGTAAAAACATGCAGTGTGGAGGGGCATCAGCCTCACAAATTAACCGACATTTCCTCCCCCTGAAGGTAATGGAGTGATCCCAGAAGTTTGTCAGCGTGTGCCTCTGCACTGACCAATCACAGGACACCTTTGAACTTCTCTGTGTATTGATTGGCTGTCACCCTTGTGTGTATTATATTGTGGTTATCCCTGATTGGTCACTGCGACCGTTTTATTATTTTTTAAAAATGATATAAAATAACCAATGTGATGTGTCTCTCATTACTTTTCATGATGTAGTTAAATTGCTTTACACCGTTTCTTCTTCTGCTCTTGTTTTACCGCACAGGGGTAAGACATATTCCACCGTAATTTTGCACATCCCTGCAAGTCTAAACGTTAGATGCTAAACAGATAAATAGGGCTAATAAACTGAAGCTAAACTCTGCTCGAGCACTCAACACTCTGGATGGTTCTGAACGTCATTTTCAGTCAGTTTTAATTCTTTTTAAAACTCACTGTATCCCCACAACCAACACCCCTCCCCCCACCACCTTGCCACCACCAAAAAGCAAATTTGAAGGTGGCCTTTTTTCAAAAATGCAAAATGCATTTGCATTGCGGCAAGCAGCAATGAAGTCTTTAAAGGTTTTTTTTTTTTCATTTTCGGAACAACTCGGTGCCTGTCGCGAGATGAACAGATAAACAGCTGTTCAGATTCTCTGTGTATTCCCATTTTTTGCTATTTAGTCACCTTTCTTCCCTTGTCTCTAAAATGTCAATAGTTTTTCTACGTTTATCAGTTTGTCTGACCCAGTTTTGAAATTGACACTGATAATGTGCATGACAAATTGGCTCCATTGCATTGTCTGAGTGCATGTTTATTGACAAAAGCACGAACAGTACAGTTCATGGACCATCCCAAAAATATTCGTTCTTGTTCAGACAAGTAAGTTAATGATTATGACCACTTTGTAGGAAGAGGGGCAAAAAAAAAAAGAGTTGAAGCGGTGGCCGAAGTGACCTAACCCTCCAGATGTTGAAGTGCTTGGGTCTAAACTCGTCTTGCCAGCATTGTGAGTGTGTCGTCGAGTGGTGCGACCATCCCTGCAAGTCTAAATTAATGACTAAACACTGTGACTAAACCTAAATGTTTACAATGTTACCTGCAGTATCCCATATGCCTAACTGGTACTTGTCTTGCTACCAACACTTTGTAATAAAAATTCAACGCTTGTTACACATTTTGGGGATTTTTTTTTTCAGGTTTTAAAATGAAGAAAACTTTTTTCTGTCTATGTTTCTCAACTGGAATTCCTAAAAATTAACTTGCCCAAAATCTCCCAGTTAGTGCAGACTTCCTCGTACAGTGATATCTGATGCTAGGGGTAAAAATTGAGAGATAAACTTAATTCTGTTTTTCTTTGATGGATTTCGTACTGAACAATCTTCCCCAATAGACCTCACACCAGAGTGACCGTAAGGTCATGGCAAAATTCTGCTAAATGCGCTTCAAAAATCTGTCAGATTTATCAAAAATCTGCCAAATTCCCCAGATTTCCTCGAAATACACTAAAAGCCCTTAATATCACATGCAGATTCGTAGTACTGCCTTAATTAAGGTTCAAATTACATTTTTAACAATTTAGTCACATAAAGATGTTATAAGATTATTGCGTAAAATTTCAGGCAAAACGCAGTTGCGGCGTAAATCCGGTTCCCAGTGAACCTCAGTGCCTAGACCAGCCAACCTGTCCCATTTATGCAAGGGTTTGTTTGAAAAGATTGAAGATTTTTAAAACAAATATTTTTTCTGTAAATAACCATTTTTGCAGAATTCTGCCAGAAATCTGCCAAAAATTTATATTCTGTCAAATTTTCTGTCAAACTCCTTTTTTTAACAAAAAATCTGTCAAAGTTAACTGAAAATCGGCTAAAACAGTCACCCTGCCTTACACATACATGACATTGTGTTTTGCGTTCATGTGTGCTTTCTTATGGGAGTTGGGAACGGTGTCGATCCCCCTCATGGCTCCCATAGGCAAGTGCACGTGCAAACAAAGTATGATGTCATTATACCCGAGGGCTACTCTCCCAACGCCAACAAAAGTAACTATTTTGACTAGATTCAAGGCACATCCTGCTCGTGACCCAGACGTTTCAGCAACTTCCTTTGCAGAGACTTGAGAGGTTACATGTATGAAGCTCATTGTGTGTTAATTTCCTGAAAAGGCTGCAAGTCCATGCAAATGGCGCCAATCGATGCTGCAGTCACCTGTGTCACTTTCAGGACAAGTTTTCAATTTTGTCACGTGCAGAATGAATCGCAGAACTGAATTTGACATCTTAATAAGGTAAACAAGTACCGTAATTTTCGGAATATAAGCCGCGCGGAGTATAAGCCGCAGCACGCAAAGATTTGCAGTCGGCGTATAAGCCGCACCGGCGTATAAGCCACACCGGCCGCAGCGGTTCAAATTTTGTAAGACCTCCAAATTCTAGTCAAAATGCTCTGAACCAGTTCCATTTACGCTACGAAAGCTATAAAAAAGGGCCACAAAAGTTATATCAAACCATTTACAGTCGATACTCTTACAAACAAATTATATGGAAATTGATGATCTCCCTCCACCCACATTTTAAAGCGGGGGGACATTGTTTGGTCCCCCCACACTTTTTCTTCCCCGAATAAAAATTGTAGCCTACAATAATGATTCTATTGCTCAGAATTCATGTATAGCTGATTCAATTACTCCAAACTCAAAACTTTAAAAGATGATCTTTTGCTGAAATTGGTTTTAGTGGTCAGAAATTGCCTCAGATCACACCACAGAAATTGCTTTTCTATAACTGCATGTCGTCTCAACTATATCCCCCATTTACATTTAACTCCCCACATTTTCATCCCCAACACTACGCCCTACCCGATATATGATCGGGTAAATCAACTTGTGAGGAATATAAACAATGGGAATTGCTGCCGACTGGCCCCTCCGGTCTCCGACCTAAAAGTTGGTGCATGGCCCGGCAGCCGCACCGGCGATTGACAACTTTTTCCCGCAGCACTTGAGAGAGTATGCAACCCACCCATGTGTCGTCTGACTGGAGCGCTACAAATCTTTCTTTGTCCTAAGAATATAAGGTCCGTTTTAACAACAAAACTTATCAAATTGTTGCGATTACTAACGAGTATTAATGT